ATTTATTCAGGTAATTTCTTGAAAAGTTTTTATTATAACTATTAGATTAAGTAGATTTTATATTTATGTTATCTTCTTTTTATTTACCAATCCTGCAGAAATTTATAAAGCAAAATTAGGTTGAAAAATTAATTGGAGGTAAAATTATGATAATGATGATGTGAATTACAAGTATTATAAAATATTGTTTTAAAAAATAATTTTCATTTTTTTTTATTCAAGCACTAGTATAAAAAGCAGTAGTCCATTAAAATGAACCCACACTATTTCCGTCACGTGTAAATCGAAAAATCGTCTGCAAACAAAAACGCTCATGTATAGTTTAAAAGGCTTCAGCAACGAGGAAATTTTGAAAGTAAAATAACTAATATATAATACCAATGGTCCCCGGACGGCGGAGATTTTCATATCAGCGTGGATTTATCGTCGATTTCGATTATTCATCTTTAGCGTTGAAAAATGTAATGCACTATAGTAGCGAGGAGGAGCAACATCAGGTTGAGAGAAAGAGAGCATCTCGCGTCTCTGAGCGCCACACATAGTACACGCAAGCCCCAAGGGCGCGATTTCAATTTGCTTCTCCTCCCCTCCTCATCCCTCTCTCGTGGGAGCTCACCATCGATGAAAGAATCTTATCTCGTGTGTGCGTGTGTATATACATATTACATGCTCACACGTACACACGTGCTTATCGATTGTGGAATATTGTCTTGTAATGAGCGTTACTGATGTGTATATACTTAAATTTTCTTTTCATGCTTGTTCTTGAGATCTGCTTTGTGTGTTGAGAGAAGTTCGTTTATAGTACTATCGAAATTTATTTGCCCAAAGACTAAAACGAAGTTTTTGTCACAAAATTTCTCTTTTACAAAGCAGATGTCCAATTATTTTTNAATCAAGGAATATTTTAGACTTGAAAATTTTTGAAAGGCTTTAAAAGTAGAAAAACGACTCCCTAAATATTGACTGAATCCATGTTTCAAAAAGATTTATCTCCAACATTAAAAGCAAACAAATTTTATCTCATTTTCTAATTTTTGCTTGTAAGACTATTTTCAATATAATAAAAAAAAATTTTTAGCAGCTGCTTACCGTACATTTTATAAGTTATGTTTCTCAAGTAAAATTTTGTTTTAGTATAAATGAATCGTTAAATATTCTTGTAAAAATTTTTAAAAACCTTTTTTTTTGTTTGATTCTTCCAGTTACTGGGCGGTGCCTGCTTCAGCCATGGGCCCTACACGTTCTATAAGGCGGTGCGGATAGGCGCCAACCGTGTGCTGCGACTGGGAAATTTTTTCCTGACAAAGCTCTGGAGCGACGCTGATCTCGTGAGCATCGGTGAGCTTCAGCTGCTGTGGATCGACAACCGCGGCCCCAACACTCCCTTGGCCTCGCTGAGGCTGTACTTTTTGCCGGAAAACACACCTGATGGACGCAGGGACTCACACGGAGAGGTGAGGCTTTTACAGTTTTTTTTTTTTTTTTTCATTACAAGGACAATTTTGTTTGCTTGTGATTTCTACTGATATTTTATTTATTTATCTATATTCATGCATACTGCGTAGATGGTGATTTTTTTTTGTTTTTTTTTTTTTTGTTTCGTAAAAACAATATGCAATTTTTTATACGGTAAGTGAAAATGATAAAATTTACAAAAATAAAGTGTGCACGCAATTAGTATCATAATAACGATTAATGTCATATAACTCTGTAACTACACGATTTTAAGATGATGATATACTATGTATGCGTACAAAAATGTTAGATATTATTATGGTATTAACGTTGAGTACTGTTACGTACGATACCATGTATAGAGGTTTTTCTCCCGATTTACCAGACCACGCAAAATCAGAATAATTTTTTCAACGTGTTAATTTTAAATTTTGTGTGCCATATGAATTAAAAATTCATCAACAAATAAGTCATACTTTATGTTAATTTTTAAATCTCTGCTGAGCAAAAAGATAGAAATTCCAAAAGTCCGACGCAAAAGTAGAAACTCTGACGTAGCCAACTGCTGCTGCAAATTACATGTCCGAGCGCAATTATGTAATTACGTAAACGGACGTGTTTTAGCCTCGGTTTTATCCTTAGTTTGCGTTCACCTTTTCTTCTCCTTTTATTAATAGAGTCCTAGATCCCTCAATCGTCTTAACAATAAACAGATCAACAACGCTGAGGGCTATATAACTTTTGGTAACTTTTATTGGAGCTTATCATATCACGAGTAAAATTGTTGGGCGGTGGTTAAAAAAAAAAGTAGCAGTTTCAACGGAGTTTTTAAATAATATTTTCTTCACCGTTAAGTACCCACATTATGTCTCATTGCGCCAAAGTAAAAAAAATAGTGCACAAAGCGATCGATACAAGTGCACGCAAATTACCGCCCATCGCGGTTATCATATATTATACATATGTATGCTCCGACCGCTCTACGAGCCAAGCCAAGTGTAAACACTCCCCTTCGTGGAATCCCATTTCAGGGTCTGAAAAAAATGTTCCTCCCCTCACGCGTACAATCCAGCGCCTTTCTCGTTTCCTTTCGCAGCTGGATTGTTATTCAGAATAAGGCTTTGCCTCCCGTATGGGGAAGGAAAATGAGGTTGCCCTAAGAGATTCGACGGGGTTGTCGAATTTATGCTGAAAGAGGCCGAAGATGAAACGTTGTTCCACGAGATGTTTTGGCTTTGCCGCGTTACTTATGCAGAGTCGAATTTAAAAAAAAAGTTTTATGGCAACTGAGAGTTGTTTTTTTTTTTTTTTTTTTTTTCTGTCTTCAAATTATACCTGAAGTATAATTTTATTGCGTGCATCATTAAATTTTTTAATATTAAGAAGCATTTTTCTTCGTATCAAAGTGGTAATTATTATGAATCTACGGTTTATCAAATATTTTTTTATTACCCAATTATTTACCAATGATGTACTTATGTAAAGAAAAAAACGCAAACCAATTTTTCAATTGATATTTTTGATCTACAATATAAATGAAAATTGATAAATTTAATACGAGGCAGCTTGTAATGTGTTCCTCACAACACTGCCTTATTTCAGAGTAACATTTTTATCAAAAAGCACATCACATGAAGTATTTTACGAATCACTAATATTTGAGTAGAGAAACAATAAAAATTTTTTTAAACAGTTATGGAAACAAGTAACGATAAAACTCAGCATAGGTCCCAAAAGAACAGTCCGACAATGAGCAATGTACGCTCTTGTAAAAAAAATCCTGCCGGTAGTGCACGAATAGCAACAAAATAATAGAGCAGAAAACTCAAAAAAAAGAGAAATAATATATAAAAGCAGAGAGCCGCAGCTGCGGAGGTGGAGAAAAAAACAAGAAGTAGCTGAGACTATTACAGCAAGCCGGCGTAAGTATGGTCGAGAGTAAAGTTGGCGAGAAACAAAGCACGGGCCAAAGCGAGTGCAGGGAGTGAGAATGAGAGTCGCCGACGACGACGACGACGAGAGGGAGGGATGGGAGAATAAAGCTTCCAAGCTTCCCTGTATTGCCGAACTTTGAGTCGCGCGAGCGAGGCAGAATTTTGTTGGGAAAAAAAAAAAAGCTTTGAGGGCGAGCTTGCGCGTGCGCACTATACGATAACTAGAACGCGAGGCGAAGGGCGAGGGATGAAAAGTGAAAGCGAGGGTTGGAATGAGGAAGCACGAGGAGGAGCAAATAGAAGTGAAGGGGTGGTTGGAGTTAAGAGGCAACTTGGAAATAATAGAGGTCTGCCGAGAGAACTGGAGAGATCGAAAAACACATTTTTTCCAAATTTTTACTAGGGCACTTTTATATACTTTTTCAAGTTTTTTAAATTATACTTTTTTACTCAAAGTGTTGTACAATATTGGTGCAAAAAAATTTTTTTTTCATATCATTATACGATGCTTAGCAAAAATTTTTTTCTGGAAAAATCATTTAAATCCTGAAGCAAAAATTAGCTAAAGCATTTGAAAATGTGTTTAAACGTTTAATTTCCAACAGTTTGCAATACTATTTTATACAAAAAAATATTTGCTCTTATCTGACAGAAATTTTTTTTTTATACTGCACTGTGTGAACAGTGATGAAAAAAAAATTATTTTAACACAAAGAATGTACTTCATCAAACTGTGCTGCATAATAGACATGTGTCATTTTTTTTTTTCTTTTTTTTTCAGCGCAATAAAAAACAAATAAAAAAATACCTTATAACCGTGAATTTCACGTAATGAATGATGCAATTGTAAGCAGAAATTTTCAGCCACACGATTTTAAATCTCGAACCAACAGTCCATAAACTCTCTTGAAACTTAACCCTTCGTCCTATCTGTGAAGGGGCCGTAACGGTCTCTCGAAGCACTAATGTTTTCCAATTAAAGTTCAGAGCTCCTTCTCGGCCCGACACCGGCAACAAACGTGTAACGTTGAAAATCGTTATTTTGCACACTCAATGTTTTAGTGGCCATTGTTATTACCGACTGACAAAGAGAGTCAGTCTGTAGAATTAAATAATCTTTGAGTAATCAAGGAATATTTTAGACTTGAAAATTTTTGAAAGGCTTTAAAAGTAGAAAAACGACTCCCTAAATATTGACTGAATCCATGTTTCAAAAAGATTTATCTCCAACATTAAAAGCAAACAAATTTTATCTCATTTTCTAATTTTTGCTTGTAATTTAACACTCAATTTTCCTTGAAATCATTACCCTGCAATGATTTATTAACCATGAAAATCTGAAAGTCAATGAAAAAAAAAAAAAAAATTTACTTGAAGCAACGATTGTTTTCCTTTTCAATTAACCATGACTGCGTATCCCAACAGCAGCTAATCAATTCAGCTCTGAAAACACTCGCGGCGCAGCCACCGCGAAAAATATGCGCATTCATTTTCCATCCTGTGTCTGTATAGTATACACGCGCCGTCATTCCTATCCCTCTATACGACGGACAAGCACGTGTGTGTAATATAACGAGTCTCGTCACACGTATCTACAGTCCCACGGTTTAGTTCTCGGCTTAAACGAACCTGAATTTTCACTTTGAACTCCCATGCAAATCACAAAAGCACCCAAATTCTTGAGTTACGTGCAAACGCTAGTTTATTTTGGTACAGCACAATAGGAAATAATTTTTGTTTGTTCTTTTGTTGTCTGAAATTTTTTATTCTATCGATAACTAGGGGTAGGGAAAAGACGGGTGGATGGAGAAAAATTAAACGGCTGCTTTCAAGTGAGGGTTGGAAAAAAGGGCTTTTAGAAAATCTGGAGGGATTTTATTGTGTGAAAATTCAGAGGATGCACGACTGTTGGGTTATTGGATGTGTTGGCATTGTTTTGGGCTTGAAAAATCTTTTTTTCGGGGAAACAAAGGGGATCCCGTTACTGAAATAAAAACGAGCGGAAGATTCGTGACGTTATTTTTGTGAAAATATTTTATGAATTCCGTTTATTTTTAATCCAATAGGTGAAGTGTTATTTTTGCGTGGCTTAGGTCTTGTAGTATATTTCTACGTGTGCAAATTCTTTTTTTTACTATCAATTTTTCGTTTTAAGTATTATACCATAAAAATTGAAAGTGTAAAACGACGTTGCATGAATTTTTAAAGGTAGTAATATAATTTATACAGTATACATATAGATCCGAAAAAAAGCGTACGCATAAATGTTCATTTTAATCATAAAATACATTATAAAAGTTCTTCTCTCTGGTACAAATTTTTTATTTTCCTTTCCGCAGTACAGTATACGTATGTATAAATATCCAGTCTATTCATGGGAACAAAAGGTATGAAAATTTTTTGCTTTAATACACTTTTCTTATGCAATTTTCAAATGGAACATGGAGGAAAGAGTTTTTCAACTTACAGAAAAAAGAGAACGGTAGGGCACATTTACAAAGTTTTAACAAAACGATCTCGGACTTCTAATCTCATGCGAACTATCTTCCGTGTAAGCACAAGAGAAAAATTCTTTTTCTTTGCCTTACACTTAAAAATTTGCTAATACTTTTATTACAGAAAATAATTTGACAGCTCACATGCAATATTAATAAAAAAAAAAAAAAAATTTAAGAAATTAAATCAAACACTTGTAAAAAAACTTGACTGCAAAGGTGCGTTGAAACAAGATATGGAAGAAAGAAAAAAAACATATTAAACCGCCCTCGTCCGAGCAAAAAAAATTTGGGGTGAATAAGAGAAGAGAATGATAAGCTCTCTTGGGAAGCCAAAGTTACCAGGCGGCTATTGTTTTTTTTTCTATGGATTCATATCTTTTCTTTCCGTGACCATTACTTCGACTTAGCCTGAGAATATTTTAATTTATAAGCAGAGGATCGAAGCTTTTCAACTTTTTTTTTTTACTGTTTTTTTTAGAAAGATCTCCCGTCTTTGTGATTTTTTCTGCATTTTTATTTGAAGTAGTTGTTCGACTGACCCTTTTTTAGAGACATTATCTATCTAGT